CCCGTTGGTTCCCCCATGGGTCCTCCCCCCCCCCCCCCCGCATTGTTTCCTTTTTCTTTTCGGCTGCTGGCCGGTAAAGGCATCCGAGCCGGTGACCTTGGTGTTATAGGGCTGTGCTTTAACCAATTGAGAAATTGAGGGCCGGCCCGTGGCTCACTCAGGAGAGTGCGGTGCTGATAACACCTAAGGCCCTGGGTTCGGATCCCATATAGGGATGGCCGGTTCACTCACTGGCTGAGTGTGGTGCTGACAACACCAAGTCAAGGGTTGAGATCCCCTTACCGGTCATCTTTAAAAAAAAAAAAAAATTGATTGAAGAAAGAAGAGGAAGCTAGCTGGAAGCCAAGGACATGTTTTCTCCCCAATCTGGACATTTCTTCTGGTTCTTCCTTGGAAGGCAACTGAGGGATTACTTTTCTATTCTTGCTTTCACCCCCAGGCTTGAGTTCAAGGGGTGATAGTGGTCCCAGATTCCCCATGATCCTGGAGCTCAGAGCGAGTTCTTCGATATTCCTATTCCCCTTGAAGGACCTAGTTCCACCACTGTTTTCCATCCCGGAAAGGTTTTCCAAGATCTGGCTATGGACCAACATTTCAGGATCTCAGGATCCCTCCCGCCTGGCCCCAGTCCCACCAACAGGTAGTGGAGGCATAACACGGAAAGGGAGAAGAACATAGCCCAGAACATAAATTGGATCTCTTCTTTGGCCCTGATTCTCTTTAGGGACTTTAGATGAAAGAATGAGACGGTGTTTCTAAAGGGTTTTCTGAAGATCATTTCCCAGAATTGTAAGAAAATCCTATCACCTGAGAAACTGAGGCAACATAAAGTGACCCCTCTCATAGACATAGACACACACACACACACACACACACACACACACGCACACACCCCTTCCTATACACAGGCCGCTTAGTGTCTCCGCAACATAAAGTGACCACACACACACACACACACACACACACACACCCCTCCCTATACACAGGCCGCTTAGTGTCTCCGCACCACCTGCTACAGAAATTCCTTCCCCAGCCCCCAACTTCTTTCCTCTTCCCTCCCATCTACATCCCCCCCCAGTTTCCTGGTTTACGTTGAAAACTAGGAACACCCCCTCCCAACTTCCTTCCCTCCCTGTCAATAGCATTAGCAGGGACAAAGAGGGAATGCTGGCTCCACCTCTCCTCCCAACTGGGCACCAGCTCTGCTGGGCACCAAGCCACCTCCAGCTCTCTGTTGCCCTACTACACCTCCCAGCAGGCGAGTTGACCTGGGCTTGGGGCATGCTGGGACTTGTAGTCTCCACCTGCCATAGGCGGCTTGGTGCTATCATGGGCACCCTAGGGCATTCTGTCCATCCCTCTGCCTCTTGTTATTCACTAAGGCATTGGAGGGGTGCTTTTCTTGCTCTGAGTGTAGGAGGGTCCCAACCTCACTTAGCATTCCCTCCAATTTCCAGATTTTGGGTATCCTTCTGCAATCACCCTCTCCCTGCCTGCTACTGTAGACTTGGGACTTACATGTCATTTTAGGACTCTCTAGGACTCGATCTCAACCCTCCACTACCTCTTCATCCATCTCCAATCAGAATTTACCTGTAGCACCAGTATAAAAAAAAATCAGCTCTGATCTTTCCTTCATAGCCTCCCAGACTAAAAACCCACCCATGCCCCACCAAAAGGTGGAGGACAGCCTCTCTTTTTACTGAGTTCAGACAACGTGGATGGGCTAGGGAGGGATTAAGGGTGACTGGCAGGGAACAGTCAGGAAACAGTCCCAGCTGCTGGAAAACAAATCCGCATTGTCTCCCTGCTCCACCCCCAGCATCCCTGATTCTCCCCCTGCTCCACCCCAACCCCTAAAGGCTGAGCTGGTTGGTTTTCCTGGCTTCTGGCTTCCTAGATAAAGGTCTGTGCCAGCTGAGCTTGGAAGAGAACAGGGCTGGGGAGAGAGTTGCAGACTTTTCGTAGCCAACCCCATCTTCCTAGTGCCTGATGAAAGGTCTCAAACTACAATATCAGGGAACAATCCCAGTGAGGGGAGGTTTAATCCTGGACTTGGGGGAGCCTCCCCAGACTGGAAATCTACCTGGGGGATATAACCCCATTTATTAAGGGCTTCCCCTGGAGTGATGGCTTACACCAGAGGAGCTGCCTTCTGGGTGGAAGGTCAGGGGATGCGGGAAGAAACAACTTGACCTGAATGCCTGGATGATGCCCAGTAAGCTGGCTCTAGACAGTGTATACCACTATGAGCTTTTCCCCTCCATTAATGGATTTCTCTTTTCTCCCCCTTTCCAAGCCAGGTTTCTCCCATGACTCACAGCCTTGGAGTGCTGTCTTGGGCCCACCCAGTTTGCCTGTTGCTACAACAACCACCAACACAATCCAAAGGCACCTCCCCCCACCCTGGGTACACATGCCAGGCACCCTTGTCCCACCCCTACTTCCCTGGCAGAGAGCTCCTAAGCCAAAGGAGGGGCCTTGGGGTGGCAAGGAGGGAGGGCTCTGCTTGTTCTGTTTTCCTATTTTTATTAAACAAAACCACCACTCCCAACAGTCTTGTTTTCCAGAGTTACCTTTAATGACCAGGTCTGAACAAAAGCATGCACAGCTTCCCCTGCCCCTCACCGAGCACACACAGCTCCCCACCCCAGGAAGGCACCCGTCCAGGGTGGACTTACAGGAGCCCCAGGGAGTCTCCCTGCCTCTTCCACTCCCCCTGCCCCCCCCAAACCCTGCTGTGTAAACTTAAGATCTTCTGGCTTAGGAAGGTTTGTATAAGATTATAATTTAACTGAGCACCTACTATGCACCTAGCCCTTGGCCATGCACTTCACATTTTAGGGAGAAAGGACAAGTGCCACATGGCTCTGGGTAGGAACCTCTCTTGACTTAGAGGTAACCAGCTCTGTCACTAACTACCATCTGGGAATGATCACAGAAGACATTGGAGAGGTAATTTAGAGCCCCAGGGTCTGCTTAAACACTGTGTTAGAAGAGAGTTCAGAATGCGGGAGAAGTGAAGAGGAGGGAAAGTCTTCTAAACTGAAGTTTTATAAACTCTACGTTAGGTAGCTAAGACAAGGGGTAAGAGACACCAAAGGCAGATGGGTCCCTCCCTTCTGCTATAGGATGCATTCTCAACAGGGTGATATTGCCCCCAAGAGGGTCAAAATTGATTTTGGTGGGTGGAAAGGGGAGAATTTAGATATTACAATGGTGTGCGCTCCAAAGAGCCACAGTATATAAACAGATATACGGTGTATCTATAGTATTAACATTTCATGACTGAGGTGGACAATTAGGGAAAAAATATTGCAAAAGATTCCTTAGGAGGATGATCATGAAAAAAAAAAAAGTTGAGAAACACTGTGCTATAGGGAGGCCAGAGGATCCAAGCCAGATCCAGCTAAAACGTTCCCCCTTCTGGCCTCTCTGAGTTGGCAGCTTTTGGGTGCCCCACCCAAGGCAGGATCTGGCAAACATAAAGGATCTCTTTGCAAAACATTTTCTAAAAAAACTGGAAAAAATCAGTGTAAATGTTTTCCTCAGCTACAGGGAGGGAGTGGAGAGGGCCCAGAACAGACCCCAGGCCTGGGCCTCATGAGGGTCCTCTCCAAAGAGGCTTTCAGCCAAGCTGGCCTGTCCCCAAGGAGGAGGTGGCAGGGGCAAGGGAAGAAAGAATCAGAGGCCATGTGCAGTTTCATACAGCTTCATGCTGGGCAGCCTTTGGGGTGAGCTCAAGTATGATGTTGGGGAGCATCTACTATCAAAACAGAGACCAAGAAGTAGGGGAAGGCCCCTTCCCTTCACCTGCCCCCCCCCCACTGCACACTCCACATTCACCTAAATTATGCATAATGAAAGTGTTTTCACAATGCCCATCACCCAACCACAGGGGGCAGGGGCTTGGAATGGCTGGCACTGACCACCACCAACCAGTGAGCTGATGGTGGGCCAGAGTGACACCCCATGACCACAGCCCCATGGGATCCAGGACACCTTAAGTACCCCCACCAGCTGTCGGCGCCTCTGGGGTGGGCAGGGGCCGAGGCTCTGGGTAATAGGGCAGTGTCCTAGGCGTCTGCTCAAAGGTTGGGAGCTCAGGCACTGTCTCAGGCTTCAGGTCAATGGGCTCAGTCTCAGGCAGAAGGTCAAAAGGCACGATCTTGGGTGTGGCTGAGTCAGAGGGTGCATTCAGCTTCTTCTTGGGCTAAGATGAGGAAAAGGGGTTTAAATGGAGTTTGTAACGGGTGTAGATGGGGCTGAAAGAAAGAGGCCCTGTTGGCATGCAGAGTTGGGGCTGGTGAGTCAGGAGGAGGCACACAATGTATTAGGGCATAAAGAAACCACATTTTATTTTTACTTTTTAAAAAATTTTTTAGGTTAGTGCGGAATCCGAACCCTTGACCTTGGTGTTATCAACACTGTACTCTAACCAACTGAAATAACTGGCCAGCCCCAGAAACCACGCTTTAAGTGCTTCATCAAGAGAGCCCTGGGGCCAAAAGAGGTGGGACAAACGCAAGCCCATGAATTAATAAACACAACTTCAACTGAATCTCCTCCCTTCCTCCCTCTAGAATCTCCTCCAGCCCCATCCTTGGGCTCCTACCTTCTGCCCTTACCCAACCACAATCGTGGGATGACTGTGGCTATTGGGGGGCTGGAATGGTGGGGGAAAGAGGCTGCTGGGGGTGAAGAAGGAGTTTTCTAAGAGGCCAGTTGTTGGACTGTAACTGGGGAGGTTCAGATGAGTGAAAGAGAAGGCATACAACTTCACTGTCTTCAGAGTCAGATGCTGCTAATCCCAATTCTTCTTATTCCCCAGGGCAGGGTAGACACTGGGTGCCACCCCGGATAAGGAGAGGGAGATGCATGGGAGAGGGACATGTAATCACCAGGAAGAGTGTTGAGCACGTATATGCTCCAGACTACATTTTTTCTTCTTATTAAGGCTCCGAAGACAAGAACATGACAACATTTTGGCAGCTGGGACTGTAGCCATGTGTGAGGAGAAAGTGATTTGCATGAGAAATGCAAAACCACCTGGTTTATTGCAACTGACTCTGAACAAGTTAAATGAATCAAATTCCCAGTTGGATACCAGAAGCTAACTTACATGCATGCACGCACGCACACACACACACACATACACAGCCCCTGCAAAAAAATGTAAAAACCATAAAAAACAAGACTCTGGCTCCATATAAATACACTATTAAGGTCCCTTTAGCCCTCTTGCTGTCCCCCCCCCCCCACACACACACACAGTTTGGGATATCAGACACTAAAATACCCAGAGAAATCAGGATCCAAACCCAAGCAATTTTTACGACAGGTAGGCCTGTGTCCTGGTGCACCCAGCGGCCGCTCTCAACTCTCCCTCCTGAGAGACTGAGCTGCCACTCTTGCCTGGGGCAATCAGAAGTCAGGAGAGAGGGACAGTTGAGAACACTACCAGACTCTAGCAACAGCAGTGCTCAGTAAAGCCCAGAGTCACAAACATCCAAAGCAGAAGCTCCTGACCTACTCTGCAGAGTACAGGGAAGAGGTGGGAGTGGCAGAGAGGCTGAAGAGAAGGGGAACCAAATGGCCCTCTCCTAGGTAGATGCAGAGTCCATGCCAGGGGACACCCATGGCTGGCCAGGGGCTCCACTCTTTACACCCTGCACCCCTCCCCAATGTCACTGGGCCAGGTGACCACACATTGCCTCTAGGTCAACACTCATGAGACTGAGCAGCTAATGGCCACCAATGTTGCCCACTGGTAGCCAACACTGCATACGCGCGCGCACACACACACACACACACACACACACCGCTGCCCCAGTGCCAGGACACTGCAACTATCTCCCTCAGAGAACGAAGAAGGCAGAACTAACCCTAGGTTAGAGCTAGCCTCCACCCTGATTCTTGCTGCAGAGCCCTGGAATGAATGAGGGGGTGGGGAGCAGTGAGTGTAGCAGAAGAAGTACACGTGGGTTCTGGCTCCAGCTTTTACCAATCACTTGAGTGACAATAGGAAAGTGACTTCCCCTCTTTGGGCCCCAGCTTCCTAAACTACAAAATAAAAAAGATGAAGTTGATTGTCTTTAAGGCATCTTCCAGCTCAAAAGGTCTATAGTGACAGAATGATGAAATACTATAATATGATTCCAAAACGTGGCACAAATCACTGCTCATCTCTGAGGTTGGTTGCTTGGAAATAATATTCCCTCCCCTCTTGCTATCAGTTGCCCACTTCCCCACTTTGTGACTTGACTTTGAGCTTTACAATAGTCAGATTTTACTCAAAAAAAAAAAAAAAAAAAGGCCCACAAAAAACAAAACCAACACACACACACAAACAAAAACAAAAAAAAAAAAATGGAGGGAGAAGCAGATGGATAGTATGATTTCCTTTGGTCTTGTGAACACCTCTAAAAATACCCCCCCCCCTCTGTGGACCTAGTGACCAGGAAAAACAACATAAACTCAGCTTTTTGGAGGAAGGGTGTGGTATGCATACTCTCTGTGGCCACTAGATTTAAGGGGTGAAAGGGACCAGAGTCCCAAGCTGGGAATATTTCTGGACAAAAGTTTGGGGTTCTTCTGGAGCAAGGTAGCCCTGATTTGCCTTGAGACCAGGAAGGAGTTATAGGCTGGGTTGGAATCTGGGGAGGAGAAGCCAGCAGGCCCTCAATCCAGCCCTGGTGTCCTCCCCTTTAATGCCCATGAGCCACCTAATTCCTTAAATGCTTCCTGGTTCTATCCCCAAGCACTTGGAACAGGTCGGATGGGTCTTAGCCACTGGTCCACGGGTAGATCACCAATTTTGTCTCATCAAAACTGCTCTAGAGGGGCCGGCCCAGTGGCGCACTGGATAGTGCGCCGCTTGGGAGGCGCGGCAGCGCTGCCGCCCGAGGGTTCGGATCCCACATACAGACCGGCTCCCACTCACTGGCTGAGCGAGGCGTGGGAGCAACAAAAAAAAAAAAAAAAAAAAAAAAAAAAAAAAAACTGCTCTAGAAAACATTTATTTCCAAAAGAACTCTAATAAAACATCCAAATCATTGCCTGGGAGAAGTAGCTCTTTAAAGACCACGTTCTGCCCGTTTGCCTGGTGTTTTAGTGCAACTGCCTCCATACCCACAATCTGGCCTGATCCCCCAGCAGCCCTCAGGCCACTAACTCCTATGACTAGTAGATTCACTTCTCTCAATCACTAGCTGTTGCCTTGCTAAGTGTCACCTGATAGGATGGGATGGTAAACTGCTAGCTTTTGTTTGGGAGACAAGGAGGGCAATGCCAGAGAAGGACAGTAATAACTTGGAAGTGACTTCAAGATGAAGACTTTGATATCTTGGGTGGCAGGTGCTGAATTTCGCGTGTGCACGTGCGTGCGGTGAAATGCAAACCACCTGTGAGATCACTGTGTCTAGTTGTCCCCTGAATCTGGGGTGGGGCCACACAAGGGATTCCCTCCTTTTCCTTCCAGGAATAGGGTGTGGGAGGCCAGATGTGCTGATCCCACAGCTGGGGTCTTCCCACCCCTTGGTGCTCTCCTGCACCCCACCCCCATTGCCTGGTCATCACCGCCCACATCTGCAGTGGGGAATACAGTATCCCTTCCCCTGCTTCCCTTCCAAAGAACTCACACCATCCCTGGAGCTCTTTCTCCAAATCTCTCTCCTTGGCTGGCCACTTAAGCATCCTACCCCCTCAGCTTAACTTTACCATAAATGCTGCCACCCCCAATCTTCCCTATTAGGTCTGCCAAGGCACAGAGCTATTTTTATCTCATTCTCTTCCCAGGCCTGCAGACCTCCGGGAGGAGCGGCCTCTGCTTTCCTCCAGCAGCTGAGCCCTCACCCCCTCGGCCCCACCTGGAACATCTGCTCTACAGCTCAGGGAAGTTGAGCCCCACCCCAGTAGCTGGAATCTTTTCCTTTCCTCTATGCTCCCCCCACGTTGGGTCCATTTTAGTCCTGAGTTATTTTTCCTGTTGGTTGAGGGCTCAACTTGAGCCACTCTTTCCACCTCAGCTGTCTGCCCCCAACTGGCCCTGCTTTAGTACAGAGGCAGTAAAAGCCATCCTGTGATTAGAACTCTCCCCCCACCACCCACAACGTAGAGACACATCCTTGCCAAATGCTGGAGAGAGCATAACGAAAGAATACCTTTGGCCTCTGCAGAGAAATCTTTCTCCCTCCCTAGCCACCTTTCTTCTCTCAGAATGTCCAACTTTGGCACAGGGAGGTTTACCTCAAGGCCAAGAATGGTCTGGGACATTTAGAGTGAGAAGGATCACCAATCCAGGTTCTTCCTGGCGACCCTCTACCACACCAGGCTCTGCAGAAAAGACAGAGCTGGGTTGCTGTCCCGTCCCCTCGATCCCCCTCTCCTCCAATAGGCAGATCTTTTTTTTTTTTAATCTCACAAGCCCCCCCCTCCCCCCCATCCTGCTTCCTTCAAGCAGTTAAAATGGAAACAGCTCTGGCAAACATTTTCTACCCAAACGGCGGGCGGGGAGGGGGGGGGAAGCTTTTTAAAGGCCAAGTAACAGCCTCTTGGGAGGAGTCCCTCAGCAGTGAGTAAGGGCGGGGAGGGGGACAAGCGCCATTTCTACCTCTGTCCCATCACCACCTCCTCGGACAGGTGCAGGCTTACCCCTCTGCCTGTCTACCTAAACACCTGTCTCAATCATGCATCTCTCTCAATTCCTCCGAGAGAGACCAGGCCAAGGACCTCACCTTACCCCAGGCTGCCCAAGAGGGGTCTGCTCACGAAGGGGGTGTGGGGAATCTAGCCTCCTTTTTCTTTCCATCCCTTCATAGGGAGAAGAAGGGAAGACGGAGCACAAACCAACCCCCCACCCAACCCCCGCCTCCCATGATCCCGCCTCCTGGGGGTGAGAGCACCGACCCCGCCTGCGGGAAGCAGGGAAGGGTAAGGCTGGGCACGTTCCCGCGCAGCCAGAGATCACCACGTCCTCGGCTCAGACTCGCCCCCTGATAGGACTGGGGGCGGGGGACAGGCGGAGAAGAGCAGCAACGCTGAGATTCCCACGCTTATCTGAGGTTATGATATGAAAACGACATTTTATTCCCGCGGGAGGAGTAGGGAGAGGGGCAAACCGAGCAACGAGCGGCCGGGCGGAGCCTGGGGCGCGCCAGCCTCGCCCCTCCCGCCG